GCGAGCGGCCGCGGCGCGGCTCCGGCAGTGGCGGCAGCGGAGGGGGGCAGAGAGCACTACTTTCTACTTTCCCACTCCACTTTGCCCGTCCCTGCCCCGGCCGCCCCCAACCGGGCTCGCCCCCCTCATCCCCGGGGGCGCCCCGGCTGCCCGGCTCCCCCTGACTCCGCCGCTCCCCGGTCCCCTCCGCCACTCACCGTTATTGCGCCGCGGGTTCGCCTGCTTTCTGCGCTTACACCTGGGGCCATCCGCCATGATCCTCTCGCTTGTGTCTAAATGCTCGAGTCACCTCCTCCCCCTCCCTCCCTCCCCCTTCCCCCCCGCACCTGGTTTACGACACTCGCGGCTTTACGACATCACCTTCCTTACACCTAGAGGCGCTCGCTCTACGGCCGGAACCTTGTTGCTAAGGACAGGACGGTTTGCGGCAACCTAGGACGCTGCGGAGTTTGAATTGAGAGGAGAGGGAAAAGTTTTCCTCAGGTGTGGTTGGGTGAGAGATTGGGTCGTTGGGATACTGTGGGGACGTGGTCAGAAGGGCGACAGGCTGTCCGAGTGGGAAAGGTAAAGTTGGAAGCTCTGCGGCGTTCTGCCTCTGGACTAGCCACACCCGCCGCGGCTGTCTAGTACGCCGACGGGTCTGGCTGCTGCTGCTCTGGACCCTGTGCCCTCAGAGCGGCCTCTCTGAGCATCCCGGGCGGCAGTCGGCCCTCCCTCTTCCTGAAGGTTGGGCCCGGCTCCCACGCCCCACTCGTCAACCCTGCGCACTCCGGGGCTCGGGAGAGGGTCGAGCCCTGGGCAACCCCGGGGAGTTCCCAGGATTCGGGGAAGGGCAGGTTCGGGGATCCGGGAACGAGTGATTGGGGAACTCGGCCCTTGACGGCGAGGACACGCAGAGTCACGAGAGCAGCTACCTGACCCGCTCTGTCCTGACTGCCTTCCCTCACAGGGACGCACGGTTTTCCCCCTAGAGAACCAGGATGGGAAGTGACTTCAGTCAGATTGAACTTAAGCTGGACCGAAAGAGGCGAGAAGTTCCGCTTGCAGTAAAGCGGAATGAGTAATCCCCACACGGTGCCCGTCTCACTTCCTCATCCGAGCACGGCGCTCACCTGCTGTCACCTTGGCCTCCCCCGCCCCTGCCTTCCTCCCCGCCCTCCCTGCTTTCCTCTCTGGGTCGACCGCCGGAATCGTAGGCGTCGTGACTTAGAGTTTAGGTATTTAACAGGCCACGGTTTACTTCTTAAATGAGCGGTCGTCGCTGTGTAAGGACTTTATGGCAAGAAACAGATGTCTTCGATGCAGACAGATTGCTGATTTTTATCTTAAGTCCTTGACTTTGTACAAGTCCGAGGATTTCTGAAAGACCACGTATGTAGCACCACAAATACTGAAAAAGTTGTCTTCAGAATGTGGGATTGGGATTGAGGTTTCTCCTCCCTGCTCCCTGCAAAAACATGAGGAATTTTCTGAGAACAACTTTATGGAATAAATGAGCTATATTTCAACTAATGTTATCAATTAACAGTGTAAGAGCAATCAATAGAGATATCAAGCAAACTGAAACCTGACATATGGGACTGTTAGAAATAATCTAGTAAATCACACGTAACGGTGCTAGTATAGTAGATGCTCAATTTATGCCTACGATTTTTGTCTTGCCTATGTCAGGAATTTTTATTAAAATTGCGATTTAAACACACCCCACCAGAAAATGTAGATGATCCATTGATGAATGTCTTCAAATCTCTCAACCGAAATAACCTTACAGCTAAAGTCTGGTAATTCAAAAATCAGACAATTAAATCCTGAATATAAATTAAAAGATGCCCCATTCGCTTTGGCATTTTGAGCATAAATGCTTTATTTATCAGTGCACAAAATGGGACTAAATATTCTTTGCTGTATGTTATGTATCTGTACTCTTTCCCAATGCCAAAACTAAAATCATTGTCTCTAATGATCATTTTAAGTATAGGCATTTCTCATTTTCCTCAATACCATGTTGACTGAAACTTACGCACATCAAAATGCTTGGTCCAATTGTAATTTTTCCTTTCTTTTTAAGGACTGTATGATATTCTTCAGTTGTCTTCTGAATCAGATCATAGAATGTCTTTTGCCAGAAATTTTCTCCAAAGTTTTTAAAAATTGCTAACCTAATTTCCAACCAGAAAAGCAAAACATGTATATATTTCTAGCTCAAGCACATTTTACCTACCCTCAAACTTAGGAATTATTTACTACAAATGCCATTTTTTCCTTCTGACTTGAAAATTCTTACCAAGTTTCTTTCACTATTCATCCTCACCTTAAATATCATAAAGAGACAAAATGAGGTAAAGTAATTTTCTTCCTTACTTTAGTGGTCACTAATTTGGTTAACTTGGGCCAGATATTATGTAATCAGGTAACTTATTCGGTAGGTTTTTGTTGTTGCTGTTGTTGTTCATTTTTGTATCCTCAGCACTTAACAGAGGGCCTAGACATTAGTAGATACTTAATAAATTAATATTTGCCCTCATCACATCCATCCTTAGAAACAGTTGAAATCATGACTGTGAAAGCCATTTACTGTCTTATCCAGTCTAATTGCTCTTAATTTAAATTTCTTCATAATCATTTTCCCTAAATGATTAATTCTGTTCAGTCCTGTTTTTTAAATATGTACAAATATTGAGAGGCCAAATCTAATATAAATTTTGTAAAAGCATGTGTCAACTATATTTTATAAATTAAATACTTGACTGATAAACCTTATATAATATTTTTGAAGACAATGAACTCTAGACTGAAGAGAAAGCATGCAAAGTAAATTAAAAAATGAAGTCTTGCTTTAAACCTGATGCATATATTATAGTTGCTTATCTCTTAAATGTAATTGAAGATAGGAAAACTTTAGAATCACTTTATAGAGAAATTTATTAAGATTTAGATTAAATTGAAGAGAGTAGGGGACACTGATAATAGTGCCATCATACAGCATTCATTCAGTAATATGTTAATGAAATGTTACCTTGCTTTTACCAAACACTGTGATCATATATGCTAAAGGACAAGTATTCTAAAAATGAATTATCTTTTCCAAATTTACTGAGAAAGAATAAATGGGTAAAATATTTTAGAATTGTCTTTTATATTTTTTTCATAATTTGTTTGCAGTTATTTGCTTTTCGTATAAGATTTATGTATAAGTTAAGTTCAACATAAAATTATTTTCAACTCAAAATTGTACATATTTCATGGTGTTCCACATCAAAGGTATGATTTTCATGTACCTCACTTTCCAAACACATTTAAGTACAACAATGTATGATTTTTTAATCATCAGAATTTTAAAATTGGTTAATTTCTTGGAAATCCTGATAGCATGTTGGTGTTACTCCTCCATTCAATGCTTATTTTCCTAGAGCTTTGATGGGGAAAAGAATACATTTGATACATGCTAACTCTCAAAGTATATTCTATATGTAGGTCTGTTCAAGCTTCTACTTATTCCATAGATCAACTAATAAGACTCTGAATCTGATTCACAGTGTACCAAAGAGAACAATGATCATTTCATTGCTGCAATTTCACCAAATTCTGCTGTCAGAGTCAAGCAAGGAAACATGATCATAGGATGGTATAGAACCAACAGTTTTCTTCAGGACCCATTTCAGCTTTTCAAATAAAGCCTCCCAGGAGGTGATAAAAAGGACAAATGTGTATAAGTCAATGAAATGTTATCAGATGGGGCTTTCTATATGCAGAGCAAGTTTTCAGGATTATTTTGAGTATAATGAGATGTTAAGTATAAATATTTTTAGGTAGAGATGTTTGTAGGATGTCAATGAAAATCCAAAAAAGTAAAATTAGTACTGATCTTTTCCGTAAAATCACAGTAAAGAGGATTGCTTTCAAAAAACTGCCTCCATGAAAGACAATTTTTATTATTGATGTTATTTGTGAACATGGAATCCCTTTTTAATAGTTAGGATTACAGGTATATAAGACAGCAGCATGAGTATTTTGAATTTGTATTAATTTTAAGTATTTGCCTTGATATCAGAGTGCCAGTATCTGGTTTCTACTGCTTTTTTTTTCCTTTTAACCATGTATTTCTTTTCTCTGACATCTTGACTTCTTTTAGCTGCTGAGTGGTTGTGAACAGAGTATGGCTGTTTCTTTGACCTACAGCCCTGGATTTCTGTAATCCACAGATTCTCAGGTATATCACAACTGCTGTTCAGCCCTTGGACCGAAAACAAAAAGAGTGTGTGTGTGTGTGTGTGTGTAGACCTATAAACAGTGACAGGCTTTAGATGTCCCACCAATGTGTTAACAAAATTGGTGACAAAACCCAGTGTTCATTTATACTACAATTTCAAGATCTTGGTCAAACCTTTCTCATTCTTTCATCTCATGCCTCTTTTTTTCTCACTCTCTTTATCCTACTTATATAACTAGACCGGCCATTGTGCCCCTCCCACTGGTTTACTTTTTGATCATTCTCTTAATCTTTCTTTGTGCCAGGTCTGACACAGCTCTGTTCAGATCTTTTCCCTTTCTCTTTCAAGTTAAGATTTTTAAAATTGTTCCCAGCTCTATAAAATGCTTTACTTTTTCATATGATGTTTGTTACTCTGTCACAAAATTCATTCCATGCTTTGAGTGGCTGACTTCTGTGGACCACATCAACCAAGTCCTTTGCCCTCTGGTTTCTGTTTGGTTTCAACCAATTTGGGAGGCATTGACAAATGATCAGAAAACAGAGAGGAAGAAAGAGTTGGGATAATCCACTCTTCCTCCTGCCTGATTGTGGTTATAGCTTCATTCTACTAAGGCCCATAGCTTTTGCCAGACACCTCTGTCCCATGCCTAAAGACCTTGCAAAGTTCCAGAAACTCCTTCTTCCATTTGTGCCTTCAGGCCTATGGATGGTAATCGTTGAATGCTTTATCATTTCTTCCCTTGAAACCTGCCCATACCTTTGTAAATAGTCTCTTCATTATACTTTCTTCAGTTACTCTTTGAATATGTCATTAGTCTCCTGCCAGGACCCTAAGTAACATGCAAATAGACATTAAAAATTACTTTTAATGCTATTATCAGCCAAGCATTTCACTCCCGTGAAGTTTGAATATAATGTCTTCTAGTCATTCAACATGTATATATGCATGTTCTAATGTATGTGTACATGCAAAATCTAGTAAATACAATTACATAGCAATTGTTCAATAACTTTATGGAATGAAGACCTCTGTCTTGATTGACCAAAAATCTGGTGGGGTTTGCTTTATGTTCTTAAAACAATGAGAGAAAAAAATCACAATAGCATAGTATTGTGGTTATAGCTTCATTCTACAACTTCAACACCTAGTTGTCCCCAATATTTTTCCTACTCTTTAATGATAGAACTGTTACTCTTTATTACATAGCTCCTTGAAATAATGTCTCTATTTCCCTCTCTGCTACTAGGTGCTACTGTGCTACTAGATCTGGCCATGAGATGTAAAAGTGGAAATAGTGTGTGCAACATTGAGGAAGTTCTTCAAAAGAAGATGATTCACCATTCTTTCCTTCTTCCTGCTGGTTGAAATTAGACTTGCTGGCTTAAGATCCTTACCGAAGGCAGAGTAACAGGACTGAAAGAGCTGAGTCCTTGACACTGGAATACCAAAATCACCCTTGAATTTCTACCTCCACCCACTTTCACATGGAGAGAAATAAACTTTTATTTAAGTTACAGTTATCCTAGGTTTTCTGACATATATAGCCAAAATTATCTTGTTCATTATTACTACAAGTTTAATGGATTAAAAAAATGTATTGTAATTCTAGAAGTCAGAGTACAAAATGGGTCTCATGAGACTAAAATCAAGGTTTTGGCAAGATGAGTCTACTTCAGAAAACTCTAGGGAGAGTCTGTTACTTTGCGTTTACCAGCTCCTAGAGGCTGCTCACATTCCTTGGCTCTTCAGCATCTTCTTCAAAGCCAGCAACATCTGGCAGTCATTCTTATATTGCCAGCTCACTGGTTCTTTTTATACTGCCTCCCTCTTCCACATAAAAAGGACTTTGCTATTCAGTTGAACCCACCCAGCTAATCAGGACATCTTCCTACTTTAAGATCAACTGATTAGCAAGCTTAATTCCATCTGCAATTTTAATTCCCCTTTGTGATATAACCTAACATTCACAGGGTTGGGTGATTAGGAACATGAACACCTTTGAGGGCCACTGTTCTGCCTACTATAGTGTACAAATTTTTTAAGTTTTGTGATTTGAGAAATATGTTTTTACTTTATGATTTACCTTTAATACATTTGCAACTTATACTATGCTAATTGGTCATTACTCTTTATAGAACATTTAGCATTGTGCCCCATAATTTTTTTATTTTATATATGTGAAGGACAGGTAGTCTAAAAATGAATCATAATCTTTTCCAAATTCACAGGGAAAGTGTAAATAGGTAGGATTTTTTCAGTATTGATTTTTTTCATATTTTTAATAATTTACTGGCAGTTATTTACTTCTCATACAAGATTCACATGTAAGTTAAGATAAAGTTCAACATAGAATTATTTTCAAGTGTAAATTGTACATATTTTCTGGTGTTCCTCACTTTCCAAACACATTTGAGTACAGCAGTTTATGATCCTCTAATCATCAAAAATTTTAAATTGGTTAATTTCATGGAAATCCGAATAGTATGTTGGTGTTACTCCTTCATTCAATGCCTATTTTCAATCCTAGAGCTTTAATGGGGTTAGGGTGAGAGAATTAAAAGAAGTCACAGTGTATGCAAATCTTAAGGATGAAACTATAGTGCTTTTGAGGTGCATATCAAATAGAATTAAGCCCCACATAGCTAATAATTCCCCACATACTTTAGTTTGTCCATGCCACTGATGTAGCATTATCCCTATATGGTTTTTGTTTTGTTTACATCAGGCCCCTCTCCTAATTATCTTTGTGTTTCTGATACTGAAAGCAGTGCCTGTCCAAAATATTTTTAATATTTATGGAAAAGAGGAAAAGTTTCTTGTCATTGGTGAATCATTGCAGCACAGAAATTTTGTGAAGAGCAAATAGAATAGGGTATGCAGACTATTCCATATGTTATCTGGCACTTGGTAAACAGTACATGAAAGACAACAAAAAATAAGTAAATTCTTAGGCAAAGATTAAAGTCAGATGTAAAGGACATAATCCACTAGAATTCTTACATAGTGTCTTTCTCTTCAAGGCAAAAAGGTAATTTTTATCCCTGAAATTGTCATTTAAAGCACAGGTATAACTAAAGAGCAAAAGAAAGAGATGATGTTAACATGTTTTGCTTAGCATTTAGTTGTAATATTGTCTAAAAATGTTAGCTTACCTTAGCTATATTATTTAAGGAACTGTCTCTACAATAAGTACACTTCCTACCCTAGGGAAAATAACACTATTTGCAATGCAATTAGCTAACCTGTGGCACTTGCTACTCTTATACAGATCATTTTTAAAAGGCAAGTTAAAAATTATGAAAGAAATATAAAAATTGCCTTAAGTTTTGTTTCTTGATTTGCACACACCTATTTGAACTGTAGAAGCAAAAAGTAGGAATTCATCATAAAGATATTAGTGATTGTTTTTTCATAGAATCCAAAAGTAAGAGTGAAGTCAGGTCTCCCAAGTGAAGAATCATGAATACCTCTAAATGTACAGGTGGTCCCTCTCCATTTTTTGGCTCTTTGTGTTTCTGTTTCATTTTGTTGAGGGCCCACTGTTGTGCATGAAGGTGGTGTGAGGAGACAGATAAATACCTGCCATAACCATTCCATAGTGCTTAGAGAGAAAAATCCTACCCCTAAAGTGTTATTCAATAAAGATTGTGGGTTTTTTTCACATGTATAGTTAATGTAGTTACAACTGTCAGTTTTTCCATATACATACAAGAACAACATAATCTAGTATTATGTTGTTTTTGTTTAACATATATCCATTTTCCTACATAGCTACATAACCTTTATATTTGTCCTTTTTTACATGGTTGTAACATTCAAGTTGATAAGTGTAATTTACTAAGCCAGGGTTCATATTGTTGAAAGTTTCATTATTTTTGCTTTATAAAGAATAAACACTATTATAATAAGGTTTTGTTTTTATTTGATTTTTTTATAATTTCCTCAGAGAATACTCTCAAAATTGGAAATACTTACTAGATGGAAATGACCATATTTGTCTTTTTAAATATATTGTCAGCTTACTTTTGAAAAGGATTACACAAACATGATGTCACTCAAGATTTATGAGTTTGACCATGATTTAAAATTTTCCAAAATTGCTAGTTTATTCAGACAGACTGAAAACATTTGAATTCCCTGATATTTTATAAGAGGTATATAGGAAAACACAAGTGCAACAAGAACATATATAAATATGTAATAAGTTCCATACTGGATTAAATCAATGATCACTCCAGCTCTGGATCTTAAGACCTAGTCAGGCTCTTTTATGTTAAAGTCACCTTGATCTGGTTTTTAAAAACATTCCTTCCTCCCACCCAAAGATTTTTTCAAAGGACTGGCTTTGGGTTTGTAATCAGTTTTGTCTCTGAAATTATCTACCTAGGCTTTACTCAAGTGCAACTGAATTTAATCACATTTTTCTTTTAAGAGTAATTTATAAGGTGTTCTTATAGATCACAAAAATGCCCACAAAGAGCCAAATTGTTTTATTTCCAGCTTTGAACTTTTTGTATTTTATTATAAAGTTTAGGGACTTGCATTGTTTCACTTCAGTAGCCATATTTTAATTAAAGGTAAAGTCATTCCTAGTTAAAATAGTTCATAAAATGTATACATTTGCAATAAGCGTTAGTCAACATATTTTGGTATTACAACTAACAATTTATATTAATGTTGTAAATATTTGTGGAATTTGTTATTTTCACACTGAATTAATTGCTGTCATTGAATAAGTACCTTCTCTCTTTAGTAGCTCCATTTATTTCCTGAATCTACCCATTGATACTGTGCTTTTAATTTATAAAATCACCAATAAATATGTGGCTTTTAAAAAATGTCCATTTTCCATATAAAATATGGAAAGTCTCCCAGCAGATATTTTCATTTGCTAACTGGTGATATTTTTGGTAAATGCCAAAAGGTAATTTATGAATATATAAAACATTAAATGTGTGACAACTATAGCAGAAAGGGTTAGTAGAATAAATGATTAATATATTGTCTGCTAACAGAAAAAATTAAAAACACTGACAGTATGAGAAAATAGAATTTTGAGCTGATCATGTAAATTTATTTCAGTTCTCTTATTTTCTATGTCCATGTAAGACCTAGTAAATTAAGAAAATATATAGTTTGAATCCTGTTTCTCTTTTTTTTTCTTTATTACCTAGTTTACTTATATTTTTGTCTTTTCCTTGAACTCACTCTCTCCAGACTTTGGGGATGTTATGGGCATAAATCAAACTACTAAAACCCACTTTTGAATGTTGATATTGGTTTCAAAGCATGTTCTTGTTCCATCTGCTTCCCTCTAATTGCTACAAAGCTGACCAAAAGGCTATCAACCAGACAAAAGCATTTGATGCAAAGAATTTGACAACCTATTAGCTAGAAAACTCTTCCCTGAATAATTTAAAATTGTTTGAAGCCTTTCTCCTATATATAAAATTGTTCTATAGTTCTATTCATTTTTGCATTCCTCCTTTTTTATAGCCTTGGAAAACAGATCAGTTTTATGGCAGCAAAGGACATCATGATGCCAAATAGGAAACAAGGACTTGGAAGATGCTTTTGGACCTCTTAATTCCAGGCCACTTGATAGCAGATACAGTTCATTACACAAGAAAATTGCTTGATCTTGGGAAAAGAGGGTGCTGTAGGTGAGGGAAAATGAGTTAGTCACCAATACAGTTCACCTTGCAATTCTGTCGTTTAGATCTAACTAGAGAATGATTGCTGCCATGTTCCACACAAAGAACGAAAGCTTCTTTCCACTATAAGATAGTGAATCACACCTCTCCTCTGTTTAGATTCTAGGGAAAAAAAGAGGATCCTTCCCCACTCCTTTCACCCCTCCCAATCTGCCCTATATTCTTCATCACAACAAATCCCATGCTTAAATTCTGTTGAACTTGATAAACAAAATCATACCCAGGAATCTTCGGTACAAGATTGTGAAGCATAAAAATATGTATATTTTCAAAAAATACAATTTGAAGTATTTTAGTTAATATTTTGTTTATATTCATATTTCTATAAATGTTCTCATAATATGCAAAATTTCAAATGACATAAGAGTCTTTCTTTACTCACTCCTCTAGTTGGGCAGTTTTATGAACACACATAAAATTTCCCCCTGCTCTAATGATTCACTTTCTAAGAAGATCCTTCCCCATCTGCCATTTATTTATTCTTAATTGATTGCCCAGGTCTCTCATCACCTACCCCAAGTTTTTAACATATTTATTTCATACTCAAGTGTTTCATGCCATTTGTCTCCTGCTATATTCTAAACACTTTTATGACTAAAAGTTTGGATAACTCCTGTTACAATTATGAGCATATTTGAGTGTAGCTAGACTGTGTATATCAGGTATAGGAAGAGGGTCCTGACTGGAATCTGATATAGAAAGAGATCACAGTTTGTCTCAGGGATTGATTAATAATCTGAACCTAACTTAATAGGAAGCACAAAAACTGAAAAACAGTAACCATTTTTAAGTGAACTACCTGCCACATGTGATTAACCATTACATTTTAGTATCATTACATATATTATGAGTTCTGTGAACCAAGGAAGAAAAGATTAACTTTTGGAGCAAGAACCTTTAAAATGACTAGGCAAAATCAAAAGTCAAAAAGAAAGAAAAAAGAAAAGTGACAGAAGTTGATAATCTTCATTATCCAAAACAGCTTAAATTCTGAATTAGAATTTAGAAGCTCTAAAATAGAGATCTAGGTTATCATTGAACATGAGAACACATGACAATATATCTTTGGAATTTTGACAAAGAAAACACCAAAAATATGTCTTCTAGAGTAAATGCTTCTAAGAAGGAAAACTAAGAACTGGGAGAAAATCTAATATTGCATCACTGATAGCATAACAAACATAATAAGATTATTTTGAAACAAAAAAGTCTTATGTTAACATAGTATATGAAGCCAAGAACTAATAACTATTGTCATTCCTATTGGACTAAAGCAAAGTGCCAGCCAGCTACGTAATTAATAGAACTCTGAAAGTACTGTTATCTTCAAAATACACAAATAGTTAAATAAAAGAGTTAAGACATGGTAGAAATAGAGATGAGGGAAGAAAAAGTTCTTTAAGATATCACAAGATGATATTGTGGAAGGAAATCTGAAAAATACAGTAACCTTTCTCAGGAGATGTATCACAGGACTGTCTTTAGTAAAAAATTACTTCTGAGTTGGAAGAAATCTTAGAAGTCCGTCAAAAGATAATGCAGAGAAAAAACAAAGAATTATCTTCTACTACCTAAAAAAGTTTTAGAGACTAGGGAATAAAACCGAGATTTAGAACCAAGATTGGTTTCTGCAAGAATATGATTTCATACACATATACACAAGATAACAGTGATTGAGAATTTTATAAAACATAATGAAGTAAATGTGTCCTAAATGAGTAAATGAGAAAATGATGATTATATTAAAACAGTAGGGACCTAGTCAATACTATTAAAGGGTGGGAGAGAACTGGAAAGAATGTATACATAGATACAATTAATATTTTCTACAGAGAGAAATGGCAACAGAAAAATAATATATTTTAAAAGTCATTCAAGGGGCTGGGGTTGTGGATCAGTGGCAGAGCACTTACCTAGCATGTGTAAGGCACTAAGTTCGATCTTCATCACCACATATAAAATATAAGCAAATAAAACAAAGGCACACTGTCCAACTACAACTACCAATAAATAAATAAATAAATAAATACCCTTCAAGCTCTGGAAAAATTGGATATCCTCATGGAGAAGTATGAAATTAGATATTCATCTCAAACACTACACCAAAATCAACTCAAAATTGATTAAAGATTTCAACATAAATACTAAAACTATGCATGGCATAGCGCACACCTGTAATCCCAGTGTGTTGGGAGGCTGAGACAGTGGATCACGAGTTGAAAGCCAGCCTCGACAAAATGTGATTCTCCAATCTGTATTTGGGGTAAAATTGCGAGTTCATAACCCACTTGAATCTAATGTATGAAATATGATATGTCAGGAGCTTTGTAATGTTTTGAACAACCAATAAAAAAAAAGTGAGGCACTAAGCAACTCAGTGAGACCTTGTCTCTAAATAATACAAAATAGGATTGGAGATGTGGCTTCAGTGTTTGAGTTCCCCTAAATTCAATCCCTGGTATCCAAAAAAAACAAAAACAAGCAAAAAAAAATAAAACCCCTTAAAACTATAAAAGTAGCAGAACACATGAAAAAATCTCCATGACATTTACCTGGGCAGTGAATGTTTTCAATATGATCCCCAAAACATAAGCAAAAATACACAAACAGGATTATAACAAACTAAAAAGCAAAGGCAACAGCAGAGTGAATAAGCAACCTACAAAATGGAAGAAAATATTTGCCAACTAGATATATAACAAAGGATGAATATCCAGGATATATAAGACTGCTGAAGAACTTAACATCAATAAAATAAGAAATCCAAAATAAAGATGTGCAAATGGTCTGAACAGACAATTATCAAAACAGAAAATACAAATGGCCAACAAGTATGTTTAAAAAATTCAATGTCGCTAATAAGGAATGCAAATTACAACCACAATTATTACCTCACACCTGTTATCAAAAAGGTGAAAGGGAAGTGTTGGCAAAGGATAAGGAGAAAAGGAAACCCTTATAAACAGTTTATAAGATTGTAGACTAGTATAGCCATTTTAGAAAATGATGTGGGATTTCATCAAAAAAAAATAAAAAATAACTACCTTATGATCCAGTAATCCCACTAATAGGGATATATACAAAGGAAATGGAATGAGCTTATTGAAGAGATTTCTTCACTTCTATGTTCATTATAGCCATGATATAGAATCAGCTGATTTCCATTAACAGATTAGTACATAAAGAAAATGTGGTACACATACACAGTGGAGTACTATTGAGCCTTAAAAAATGAACTAATCGTCATTTGCAACGACTGGATGAATCTGGAGCACATTGTGTAAGCTAGGAACAGAAGGAGAAATACTGTGTGATCTTACTTACATGTGGAATCCAAAAAAGTCAAGCTTAGAAGCAGAGACTAGAGACTGGGTGTGGGGAAGATCAGGGAGATTTTGGCGAATCATTCATAATTTTAGATAAGAGGAATAGGTCAAATCTATTAGGCATTATAGTAACTATAGTTTATAACAATACATTGTATACTTGAATATTGGTAAAGGTAGATTGTAAGTTTTTCCACCACAAAAAAGTCTGTGAGGTAATGCATGTGTTAACTATATATGTATATATACATATCAAAACATTACACTGTATATCATAAATGCACACAATTTTTACTTATCAATTTCATCAAACAAGTCATTCAAGTCATTAACAAAAAAATCTTAGAACAAAAGAAATTATAGTGAAATTGAGTATTTAAAGACTTCTGGGTTGAGCTTACTATTGGTTTCACGCAGAGGATTTATTGTTCTTTCAGTAGCAGGGAAGGCCAACTTGGTAAGTCATTCCAGAAAATCATGTGGGATTGCTTTTAGGAGATTATGCAGGGCCATGTACCTATGAAAGACAAAATTGAAGCCAGATATTAAGCTAAAGATATCAAATGATGCCATTTAAATGTAATGATGTGGATCCAAGGAAGAGTACTTAGACTTTTTAAAAGGAGACAAGAATTCATTCATTCTAATGCAGATCTTTATTTATCTGCTTTTATATGCGAAGGCACTGCTCTAAGTTCTTGGCATACTTACAGGGGCCAGAAACAAACAAACAAAAAAATCCCTGCCTAGCAGCCCTTACATTCTTATGGAATGAAACATAAAATAAGTAATAAAAAGATAAATTATATATTAGAAAAAGATTAAAATGCTATAGAATAATAAAGTAGAGTGATAGTGATTAGAAATGTGGAGGCATCATAGTTTCCTTATAAGTTGCAAAATCTGAAAACTCAGTTTTCTGTTCTCTGTAACATTCTCAGAAAGGTATATATTAGTATATTAAGAAAGCAGTTGGGCTGGGGTTGTGGCTTAGTGGTAGAGCACTTGCCTCAAATATGTTGAGGCACTGGGTTCGATTCTCAGCACAACATATAAATTTTTTTAAAAAGGTCCATCAACAACTAAATTAAATAAATAAAAATTTTTTAAAAGAGGGGCTGGGGTTGTGGCTCAGCAGTAGATCACTTGCCTAGCGCATGCAAGGCCCTGGGTTCGATCCTTAGCACCACATAAAAATAAATAAAATAAAGGTATGTGTCCAACTACAAATAAAAAATAAATATTAAAAAAAGAAGAAAGAAAGAAGTCAATGGGGCCCAGTATGATTTTTAACTACTCAATAATTCACTTTCAGTTCAAAGCAGGTGTCACAGCAAAAAGTAAGTTATAGAATTCCTGTAAGAGAAGTGCTATAATAAACAAAGTCTGTGATGTCTCCCATTATTTGAATCCCTAACACCTGTTCTTTTTATTTACTTTAACTTTTGTTTTTCATTTTGGTAAATACTATTTCTCTACTATTTTAAAAACAAAATAATTGAACATATGTGCAGTTTTAGTTATAAAACATTTACATTTTTTTCATCAGTGTTAATGAAGATATAATTGTCTATGTTTGTATGCCTGAGAAAATAGGGATAATTTATTTAACTACCACAGATGAATATGTATAGCTCATCTGTTTAAGCTGAGGCTGAAGAATTATAAAGGGATTTACTAGCTTAGGGACAGGATAAGGACCTTTTGCTTAGCTCTTTTAATTTTATTCAATGATGTTACTGCTGTAATAGTTACACTAGGGGTCATTGTTAGTGACACTTAATTTCAAGGCCATATACACAATAAATTCAAGACCACATAGATAATTTCAAGATGCTACAGATACTTCTGCCTCCTTTTCTCTGCCCTTGAAAGATCATTACAATTAGGAAAACAAATTATTATTATTAAACTATAATAGTAATAGTTTTAGGAATGTTGTGCTTTTTACTAGCTAAAATCTCACTTGGCCTTCATAATAACGTTATGATGCCAGAAAGATTCACCAGAAACAGGCTTACAGAGGCTATTTACCAAAGGCACTGACCTACTGGGTATGAGGGTCCAGAGTACTCTGTGTTAGGCTGAGATGAATTCTACAAACAAACATCTAAGCTATTTCTGTTTAAGTGGCTTGGTTTTGTTGTCAAAACTGAGACAGAATTTAATAGGGCTGGCCAAATCTACATATTGTTATTGTCTAGGTGAGCACTTGTCATTTAATGATTAAGCATCTCTCCTCTTGCTCTACTCTTCCTATTTCTCTTTCCCAGCCAGGAGTTTAGCTCACCTTGTCTCATCTCTCCTTTTCATCCCTGGGGTAGGAACAGAGCTATTATAATCTCAAATAAGGGAAACAACCAAGTACAATAACTTCAGTTGGCTTATTTAATGTTATGTTCACTTAGTCTATAACTTTAAATTTTTTAAAAAGTGAAACAATATCTCATATAATAATCCTTAATAATTCATGGTTTTTAAGATTGAAAAACCGGATATTATAAAATGAATATTTCAAAGTCATATTTTTTACTATTTTGTATATAATTTATGAATCAAACCAAAATTTTAGAATTCAAACTTGTGAAGTGTCCCAGTCTCAATACTCATTATTACAGAAGTAGAATTGCTAACGACTGGGTCCTTTTAGTCCTTTACTATAAATTAATGAATGTCTGGAACATTAACTGCCATAGGCTTTGCCTCAGGTTTCTCTTTTCCACTTGTTCAGTTAACTAGATTTACAAAAAAATAACCTCTTGCATTTTGTTTTATGAAACAGTGACAATAAAAAATGGCTAGAAATCGAAAGTGTGTGTTTTATTGGTGTTCAGAAATTTTATTTGGGGGATTTCTTTTTGCACCTAAGAGATTGATAAATAAGTATACTTTTATATTAGATAACGAGATGAAATTTAGCATTATCACAGGAGTGTCCCACGTGATGACCAAGTGGAAAGCCTCATATTATTTACAGAGTATCTCTAAAGATTGAAACAAGTCCCCAGTTAAGGAGATTTACTACCTCATTCCAGATTTTTACAGGTTTATTAGGATATTCTTCCTTATTGTTCAAGTGGCTTACTACTTTTGGATTTGGGGATTTTTCTGCCTGGTTTACTTTTTAACCAGAAATAAGGCAAAAATGAGCCTTATGCCAAATCCCACAGCATTTCATCCACACAGAGATGTCGATCCTGAAATGAACCCCTTTCTTCTGCACCAGTGTTCCCTTCAGTAACACAATGTGCTGTAATATTGTTAAATCCAGTGGTTAGTTCTCAGCCTTCATGTACCTTAAGAGAGTAAATGCTCTCTTTTCTCAAGATACTTTCTACACTTAGCTTCTAGGACACCATATTTGCCTGGTTTCCCCAAAGCTACTCCTTTTCAGCTCCTCTTACTTGTTTTGACCTTTCCCTTTACTAAATATCAAAATGCCAGGGCTCAGTTCTTGGGTATCTTTCCTTTTCCTTTCACATGCATCCCTTTAGTGATTATATCAACTTTCTTGATTTTAATTCTCATCTGTATGCCAGTGGCTTTTCTATAAGTATCTTCAGGCTGAAACTAATCCATTAACTCCGGGCTTATTTGGCCTCTATTTAGAAGGCTAATAGACATTGGAAACTTAAACTGCTCCCAACTGATCCTCTGTATCAAACTCTCTTCCTCCAAACCTACTTACTATTTGTGAAATCTCTTTTATTTTACACAATGATAAGTCCATCCTTCTAAAGGCTCAGGCTGAAACCTTGGAGTTACCCTTGACTTCTCTCTTTCTTAATCTTCCATTCAATTTTTCCAAACATTCTTATGTTTGATTTTTAAATACATCCAAAATTTGATTTTTTTTTATTAGTTTCCCTGCCACAACCTGGGTCCAGCCAACATCATCACTACTTGTACCATCATAATCTCTCCCTCTGGATTTCCCTGTTTCTGCCTTTATCATCCTTCAGTGTGTTTCAACAAAGCAGCCAATGTCCTATTAAAATTCAAGTCAGATCATGTCACAGATAGAGTGACATGATCAAGACTCTTTTAAACAATTATCAAAGTTCATACAGTGGTCTTCAAGGTCTATATGATTTGTCCACACTCTTAACTCTCCAACCTTGCCTTCTCCATTCTTTATTGTGTTCTAGCCACACCAGCTTTCTCAACATTTCTTAAATATTCTAAGCATGTTCCTGCCTTAAAGGAGAGGTTAGAACCCAGAGTCTCTCAGATTCCAAAGCCAGTTCTTAAATCCAAATAATTTAATAGAGACTCTCTGGAAATCCTAATCATAATATTCTCATAAATACATAGTACCTTAACCATATACTAGTTTTTCAGTGCGCTATTAATAGGAATTGTAAACATGGTACTTCATTTTTATGGACTATGTCCTAAAATGTAATATAAATAATTATGGGACTAAAATTAAAAAAAGATCTAACCAATTCTATAATGTCTCCTATGTAGGCTATCTCATATGAATTATTCAATTAAAAGCATCTAGCACAGCCAAATAAATGTGTATTTAGGAACTACTAAGCGCTACCATCCACTACATGTGTGTCAGGTCACATGTTAGATGGATACAGTAGTAGAACAGAGACAGAGAGAAAATGGAGATGGTCCAAGTGATTTGCAAAAGGGACCAGCAGGTGCATTTGTTCAAAAGGACATATAACAG